TTTGCAATGATTTTTACTAAGCCATCTTATTAAATGAGTTTGCTTTGAGCCACTTTGAATTTTCCAACAGACTGTCAAAGGTAATCTCATCAGTAGGGGCTTGTGAGCTATAGTTTTAGGAGTAGCCACTTTTGGAGTGCCCAGGTGAGGGACTGAGCAATCAGAAGGGAAGGTTCCCAGGGTAGAGACAATTCCAGTGGGGAGAAGGCTGCTAGCCATGATGTGGGAAGGTCTGGCCTGTTATCCTGGCCTAAAAGACCCTGCTCCTGCCTTAGTATCTATCCAATTCTTCCCTTCCTTTGAGGTCTAATTCAAGTCCTATCTGTTCCATAAAGTCTTATCATCTTGTGCACTTAAAAAAAACCCCCAGAAACCAAAAAACTTTGAACATGTATACATTTTATTTATTCACTTCCCAGTGGTAGAAGCCCTGTCCTACACCAAATATCCATGGTGCAGTTGGTACTCATTAAGTATTTGTTGAATGAAAGCAAACAATGGCTCTAGTCTTATGCAAATGATGGTTGATATCAATACTTATAGTATAAAAAAATCCTTTAGTGTTTAACCCTGTTCTAGATGTAGAAATTTTGCTTATAGTAACATTTTCCAGGCTTTTAGAAGAAGGAAAAATAGAACTTCCTTCACAACCCAAATTATAGATGATCATCCAGCTTTGATGTAAGTCTTCCCCTGAGTCAGAGCCTACTACTTTCTGAGGCAGTCCATTCCACTTCTGCACTGCTGTTATTGTTAGCAAACTGTCCCTCTTGACAAAAACAAAAACCCTTTTTCTGTAACTTTTATTCTGAGCCTAGGGGTCAATAGTATCAAGTCTAATCCTTTTTCCAGATAAAAGCTGCTCTAGTACTTAAAGACATACATTTATTAAGTACCTACTATGTGCTAGGCACTGAGGGGTGTGTGTGTGTGTGTGTGTGTGTGTGTTTGTCTGTCTGTCTGTCTGTCTGTCTATCTATCTATCTATCTATCAGCTAGGTGATGCAGTAGATAGAATGCTGAGCTTTGATTCAAGAAGAGTCATCTTTGTGAGTTTCAATCTTACAGAAGGCATTAGTGATGGGAGGAATTAGGAAAGACTTCCTGCAGAAGGTAAGATTTGAGCTGATTTTTGAAGGAAGCCAGGGAAGCCAGGAGACAGATGTGTGGAAGAAGAGCATTCTAGGCATAAGGAACATCCGGTGAAAGGCACAGAGTTGAGATGGAGGGTTCTGTGTGAGGAATGACAAGAACACAGTAGTGTTAATGAACTGTAAAGTTTGTGGATGGGAAGAGAGTGTAATAAGGCTAGAAAAGTAGGAAGGGGCCACATTATGAAGGGCTTCAAAAGCCAACTAGGGAGCAACTAGACTTTTATTTATTTATTTACTACTTACCCCTAATATAAAATCTTCCCTTCTCCAGGCTAAACATTTGCAGTTCCTTTAACTAAACATAATATCCCACATGCATTCTTATGCTTTCTTATTCTTTTTTTCCAATCTATTTAAAAAAGTCAGCCTCACAAGTATAAGATGGGGGAGTGGGGTATAGCTAGATGGCAAGTTCATCTAGAAAAAAGCTGGAAGTTTTAGTGGACTTCATTATGAGAAGTATTTATATTAATGCCTTTGGACACAAAAAGCACAGACTAGGATCTGACCACTCTCTTAATCTAGTTCATTCCTCACAATTGTATGTTTCTTCCCGTACTTTGTTTTGATGAAAGTATTAAGATGTTTTATCATCCGTCATTCAAGTCAACTCAACAAATAACTTACTATGACAAGGTTTATAGATTTAGTGCTTCAAGGCCGCAGAGTCCACTCCCTTCATTTTAGAGGTGAGAAATGTGAGGCCCAGGAAGACTTGCACAATGTCACACAACTTGTAAATACCAAAGACAGGCTTTGAACCCAAGTCCTTTCATTCTTTCCACTATACCATATACTTCATCACTTTTAAGGGTCTACCACAATCATTCTTGGCCCAAATCCTTTTACATGTGCTTGATGGTGTCTTTTATACTACTTCCTGAGTGTAAGGCATAATGGGCAATATTCCACAGCTATCCACCATGAATCTTTCTATTGCTTCTCAAGCCACCTGCCATTTTGATTTTTCTAAGATCATCATGTTCCATGTTTCAAAGCCAACAGCATCTAGTGAGCACTGATGTTCAAAAGATGGAGCTATTGTGGCAGGAGGAAGTGTGGCATGTTTAAGAGCAAAGAAGAGATTCCCAGATGTAATCCTGGCCATCTGCCTCTAAAGCCCAATTCTGGTGACTCACAGTGCTATGGAGCTTACCTTATGTATTCAAAGGCTAGGCATGTTCTAGAATACTCTGGCAAGCATTAAAGGTTTTTGAGTATGGGTCCAGTGATGGACAGTTATTTCTTTTGTCCAGGAAGCAAGATAAATAATTTCAAAAAGGCTCATTACATCAAGCCAATGCAATTTTCAATCATGCCAACTCCTGAAGAGCATCTATCAAGTCACAGATGGGAGTGAACACATCATCAAAGTCACAGATTCCTGAACTACTGAAGAAGATGCAGACTTCCCCCTTCTATTAAATTCTGGGCCTATTTATCTATAGTGGTAACTATAGTTTTAATAGGGAGGGGCTTTGTAGTATTCTGAGGCTTAATGAAATTAATACCATGTTGTCTGAAAGAGGAAGTCCACTACCATATTGAGTGAATCCTCTATGGAGAATTTATGACAAGATATGGAGGAGAATTACACAGTTGATCAAGCAATCAATCAACAAGAAGTTATTAAGTGCCTACTATATACCATCACTGATACTAAAAATACAAAAATGAAATAGTCCTTGCCCTCAAGGAGCTTACAGTCTATTGAAGGATGCAGCATGCAAATTAATAAATATTTAAAATGTAGACAAAATAAATCCTAAGGTAGCTTTGAGAGAGAGTGCACTAGAGTTTGAGGGGGAAGCATTAAGAGAGATTTCATGTAGAAGGCAGTTTTTGAGCTGAGTCTTGAAGGAAATCACAGATTCTGAAAGGAAGAAGTAGGGGGGAAGGGCACATTGCACAGTCATAAGGAGGAGCCAGTACAAAGGCCCAGAGATGGCAGAAGCATTTTATGTGTAGAAGAGAAAGCAGAGGGATATGGCTGAATTGTAGTGTGTGGGGAGGAAAAAATTTATAAAAAACACTAGAAAGGTAGTAGGGAGAGGGGTTGTAGAGAAATGTCAATGCCTAAAAGAGAAGTTTACATTTGATCCTAGATGTAACAGGGAACCATATAAATTTATTAAGTAGGGGAAATAACATGGTGGAACCTTACTGTAAGAAAGTCAGTTAAGTGGACGTGTGTAGAATGGATAGGAGAGGGAGAATACTTGAGGTAGGGAGACCAAAGGAGGCTATTACAATAGCGCATGTGAGAGGTGATGAGAGCCTGAACTAGGGTTGCATTTGTGTGACTGGTAAAGGGGGATATGTATGAGAGACACTGTGGAACAGAAATGATGAGATTTGGCAACTGATTGGATATGTGGGATGAGTGAGAATGAAGAGCTAAGTATGACACTGAAGTTACAGACCTAAATGACTGGCAGAATGGTAGTGCTCCTGTGAATAATGGGGAAATTCAGAAGAGTGGTTGGTTTTGAAGAAAAGGTTAGTTCTATTTTTGTGCTGAATTTGAGATGCTTATGGAACATTCTGTTTGAAATGTCCGACAGGCAGAGGGAGATGTGTAACTGGAACTCAGGAGGTAGACTAAAGTTGGATATATGGACTCAGGAACCATTGGAATAGAGATGGAAATTGAAGCTATAAAGCTGATGAGGTAACTCAGTGAAAAAGGAGAAAAAAGAGGAGAGGGAATAGGACTGAGCCTTGGGATACAACCACAGTTAGCAAGACATGGATGTTGAAGGGATAAAGGAAAATGAAGAGTGGTCAGAAAGAAAAGAGGAAAAACCAGTAAAGAGCAGTGCCATGAAAACCCAGGGAGGAAAGACTATCCTGAAGTCAAGAATGATTAGTACTGAGAATTTAAGATGGCATGGAGGACTAATGAAATCTATATGACTAAAAGAAGAGAGAGTCCCCAAACCAATGAGGGCATGGCTCCATTGAAATTTTGAAGAATAAAAGCCATCCAGGATGGCTGGATGAATGAAAGACCCACCACCACTGGGGGTGCCTACCCCAGCCTTTGCTTTCCTCCTGTGGCTCTTCTCTTGGATGGATCCATCTCAAAACCATTCAAACTGCTTTACTACTCAAATGGATTGGATGAGATGGAAGTTACAAACTCTGTTCCTTCCACTGGGCCTTACCATATGCCTTGCCACTCCTTTTGTCCTCTAGATCTGCCCTGCCTCTAAACTACTGATACAATTTGAGCCTTGGCATCTGCCACCACCCCTATGTTTAGGATTTATGGGCCTTTTCATCCACTCTGTTGTGAATTTTCTTTTCTGTATTATTGTCCCTAATTAGAATGTGAGCTCCTTTAAAGTGGAAATTGTCCCACTTTTAAAATTCGTATTTCTAGTACTTAGCAGATAGCAATGCATTTTCATTCATCCATCTATCCATTCACTCATTTATTCATTTATGATACTGTGATATGTTATTCAAGCAACATTAAAAATTTAAAAAAGCATAGGAGTCCTTGGTTAAATGAAGCTAACAACAGTTGTCTGCCTCAAAGGAATTCACTCACAGTTACCAACTTAAGAGGCAGTACTGTGTAGTTTATAGAGTTGGCCTTGAAGCCTGGAACTAGAACTCTGGTTTTCTACATCTAAATTACTTTTCACAACAAAAGAATAGAACTACTAACAAATAACAAGTATAGATTCACATATCGTTAATAACAGCAATTCTAATCTGTACCTTATAGATATTTCACTTTCTTGCAAAAGAATATTATATACCTTCACATTTTTAATATCTAAGGACCAATTTTAAAATATTCACAAATGAAAATATTAAGAAGACAAAACTACATACCAAATGTTGAATGTTGACAAATAAGACATTCATATACTCTTCTATTGTATTATTTTTATCTTTAATCTCACAATCAGAAGAAGTTGCTGGCAACAGAACAAGGATCAGTGAAGGAATTCCAAAGATAGACCTAAAAAAAACTAAATTCAACATCATGTAAGAATGTTGTGTCATAAGCCAATTTCCATATTCTATAAAGTGAAACACATGCTATGTAGTTACATAATTCAAGTGGAATTTGTCTATTTCTGATAAATAAAAGTCCATCTTTGTTGGTAGAGATCATAAAGTTCTCTTTACAAATCAATGACTAGGGCTGCCATTTTGGAACATAGCTTTCTTTCACTGAATTGGGTAGATGTGATTTACTCAGATTAGTCTAAGTAGAAGTGATAGAGGTGTGGTAATCAATGTTTTTCTTGGAATCCAATGCCTATCTGGAACTGAAGGATAAACTCTAGGAACAGGATACGAGCTTAGTTTTTTTTTACATTTTTTGGTATATATAAATAAATATCTATATATGTGTGTATATGTACATGCACATATATGTACCCACATATGCATATTACATATTAATATACATGCATTTATATGTACGTTCAACATGTCTCTATGCATATATATGTATTAGTACATATATACATAGTTATCCCTTCCCCATTGGCACTTGCCCCATCACAGCTTTGATATATTGTGGATTAGTGTAAGAAATTAAATGGAATTTTTTGGGGAATATTGTGGAATCCGCAGATGACACATGAAGGCCAGCAGATGACACAGAAAAAGTTTAGAAACTCAAAAATGCATAATATATGTATAGTATCATATAATATCAACATATTTTATCTTTTAATACTATCATAGTTCAGAGTTCTTCTCTGGTACAAAGGGAAGGCCAAAAAATTTTATGTGGATTTTCAAGATGCTGGGATTACCGCAGCCCTAAACCCTGCAATGTGGAAGGGATAACTGTGGGCATGTGCCAGGGCACTGTGCTAATTGCTTTATAATTATTTTCTCATTTGATGCTCACCAGAACCCTGGAAGATAAGTGCTATTATTAACCCCACAGTTGGGGAAACTGAGGCAAACAGAGATTAAGTGAGTTGCTCAGGGTCACATAGATAATATCAATGTCTGAGGTTGGATTTGAACTCCAGTCTTCCTGACTCTAAGCCTGTCTGTCTATACATTGAGGTACCCAAATTATTTGTTAAAAATATAAACAAGGTTTTTTTAAATTTCTGTTAGTACTGGGAACAAAAAAACCCCACAAACTTGTCTGATTGCTTTACAATTACCCTGAGGGTGATATTGTTTATTGCTTCCTTTCAAAGTGTATATAGTTTCCCATTAAAATGTGCAAATGCATAACTAACCTTGTGGCTTTCTGGGCTTGTTGAAAATTTAGTCCCCGTCATTCATTCTCATCTTTTGAACAGGGCAAGATTTAGCTTACACCTTTCTCATTAGTGATGAGCCATGTAGAGCAGAACCTTGGAAAAATTATGTTGCTAGATCTTGGGGACATTGACTAATATTTAAGAGAACCTCCTTAGAAGTCCTGTAGTACAGTCTTTACCCAAAACATGCATTTTATTTACAACCATTCTATCAGTGTCATCTACTCTATGTCTGAGCGCTCTAGTTAAAATCAGCTCATTATTTCATGAGGTAACACATTTAATTTTTGGATAATTCTGTTATTAAGTTCTTCCTTCTACTGGGTCAGTGATATTCTTCACTTTACCTTCTGTGTTTGTGATGACTGTGGTGATTTTTCAACTGTCAGCCCATGGAGACAATGAGTTTTTAATGCATAATTTCTAACGGCCATGTCTTGCTAGGTATTCAGTAATTAACTAAATTTTTATAGCCTTCAGCGATATACTGCACAACTTCTATTGATCCTTTGCATAATCTTCATTGATTAACAAGTCTTACTTCATTAAGAATAACCTTTCTGGTATTTCTGGAGGCAATGGCCTGATCCTTGATTGCTATTTTAAAACACTTGTGTTTCCGTAAACAACCTCATATGATTTAGCCATTTTTGATACTTCTTTCTCAACATATTGTTGTTTATTTGGATATCATCTTAGAGAGCACTGTGATTCTAGTTTCGTGTACATTTGAAAAATTCAGTTTCTTATGCCTTTTGTCAGTCTTTAATATTGCTTGGTGAGTTGATGTCTGCGAAGTATTTCTGTAGACTTCTGACTGGCATATTATGTGAGAATAATTACTAATATTATTCCTCCTTTTTTGGTGAAGAAGTGTTGACCTTTGCACAGACAGCTGACTTGGGTGATGGGGCCTATGTTTCATTAATATTGTGCAGGTTTTTAGTTCAGAATACAAAAATGATATTTTTTTTCAAATCAATTATAGTCTTAAATTACTGTTCCAAATGTATAAATTAATGCTGGTATTACATATGTGTTATTTTCTTTAAATGTGTTCTTCCCATTGAACTTTGTAGCCAGAAAACCTCAATTTTTTTCAGTTGCTCAATTGCAATTTTCCCTTGATAACTTTATGCTATGATAACAAAATGCTATTTTGACTGGAGGAGACCAAAGTATTGATAAGTACCACTTTTATCCATTGGTTTCATTTGGCTTCAAAATTTGAGCTTGAAGCCATCAGGCTATCTTTCCTCATCATGTATTAAGAATTTTACACTTACTGAATCCAAATGGTATTTTGAAATCTTTGGGAAAAAAATTCCACAAGATGCCAGACAGGTGGAGTGTGTGTGAGTGCGTGCGTGTGTGTGTTGCCATATAACTTGATGTCTTTGATGTCCATGTATACCAAATAATTCACAAGCAATGTTTTGGTTTGATTCTCTTTTTACCATGGAAGCCATACTTAGTTCTATTAAAGAGATGATAATGGATTATGGCTGGGTAGAAGCATAATGGACTCAAACTCTTTCCCTGAAAAAAATGTAATGTTTTGTATTGATTATTTCTGACATTATTGTGTAGATGGTATATTTCAAATAGAGAACAATTTTTCTATGTAGATATCAAAGATTCTAGTATTTTCCCTGTACTTGGATCTATTTTATATATTTGTATGACATCAGTGAGTCACAAGTGTGGAACTGAGTGAAAGCTTTGCAAAACCAATAAAAGCAGAGCGGCTCATTCAATAATTTTTGTTGTTGTTAAGTTATTTCAGTAGCGTCCAACTTCCCATAACCCTATTTGGGGTTTTCTTGGCAAAGGTATTGGATTTCCTTCTCCAGCTCATTTTACAGATGAGGAAACTCAGGGAAACAGGATTAAATGACTTGCCCAGGCTTACACAGATAGTAAGTGTGTAAGGCCAGATTTGAACTTAGGTCCTCCCAACTCTAGGGCTGATGCTCTATCCACTGTGCCACCTAGATGCCCTCTTCAATAATTAATGAATCTATAAGAAGTTCCTGGTATACCATTTTTGGTATACCCTCTTTTCTTCTCTAATATATTATATTCTTGTAAATATTTATAGATTTTTTAAATGATAAAAGCTATGACTATTTTATATACAGTAAACATGTACTTAATTTTCTAATACTTGGAAGGTACATTGTAGTTATATCCTTATTCTTATGATTATTTTTTTTATCATTTTTTGATAAGACTCAAACAGAGATTGTTCTGGGACAAGTTGCGAGCCTGAGATTATTCTTTTATATATATGTTTAACGATCTCTAGACTATTGCAAAGGTAGATAAAATACATGCTCTTTAAGGCTGAATAAAATATATTAGATTTTAAGTCCATTCTGTCATAGGCTCACTGATTTTGAGTTCCTGTGTAAAGTTTCTATATATTGAAATCTTTTCATTCCATTTATTTTAGAGATTATGAGTATTTGTTCATAAATTCTGATATGAAAACAGTGATAAGGATGATAATTTTGATAAAGTCTGCCTCAGGAACTTTCCAAATTCCCTTTTCAATGCCTTCTATTTCCAGCATGGTACCTTAAATAACAGGTACCTCCTACCATGTTGCTTTTTCTCTATTCAACTTTCTTAAAATTTGTGCTTAGCTGGCTAACCTGTAAAAAAGGCCCTAATAAACTAACTTATACAGAAGTAGAAATGTAATAATGGCTTTATCATTTCCATTTTCATAAGGAGCAATATTTAAATAAAAGGAATGACATATTAATTGCATAATTTCAAATATGCTAATGGAGAGATTTGGGGGAGGGGCTTAGGTTTTTTCTTAAACATGCTCTACCTGCTCATATAGCTGGCATTATTTGTAGGTTAGAGTGAAATTCTGAGTTATATTCACTGAAATATATTCATAGGGTCATAGATCTTGAGCTGGAAAGTACCTTAGAAGTCATGTAATCTAAGAGGCATTCTGGGAAGATGGCAAATAGACCTGAAATTTCCAGGTTTTCCAGATTTCCTCCACAAAGAGACAGAAAATCACAATGAAATGAACATAGACCAGCAAAAATAAAGGGGTAAAGCAGTTGTCTTCCTAAGACAACTTGAGAGGACCTCAGAGAAAAGGCCAGCAGGTGAGGTTGGCCTGAAGAAGCGTAAACACCCCTAGGCCAACTCCACTGAATTAACAAACAGTGGGCCCTGAGGGATGCAGACTAGGCCTCCAGAAATTTCACCTCAACTTTCACCTTGCTCGCAGCCTTAAGAAATTTTATCTCAGGACCTTTTCATCTTAACAGCAGAAGACTAGGAGAAGACTGGAACTCTTTCCTCTCCCCAATCTTGTTTCTGGAAGTCAGACCTGGCAGTACTGACCAGTTGTGATTTTGGGCTATTGCTGTGGGTGGGGAGGAGCAAGTACATGCCTGTTGAGTGTGGTACCATAGGAAGCAAGAACATTTTCAGGACAGCATGGCTGGGGGTCATAACTTTGGCTTAAGGGAAGGAGGAGAGGAGTCCCTGAGGTTGAGCCTCCATAAAGAATTCAGAAAACAACAGTAAAGAGGATCTGAGGCCTAAGGCAACATTACCCTCGATTAGGGATTAAAACTTGATAATGATGATGATGATGATTATAATAATTAGCTGCTAAAAATAAAATAAAATAAAAATAAAAATGGGTAGGTAATGAAAAAAGAACCCAACCATAGATAGCTACTTTGGTGTTAAAGAAA